CCGTATCCAAGACATCCAGAATTGTAACTTCACCATTGACAGCCACGCTCTATCTCCCCCCCTCACATCCGCAACCTCGGAGTCATTTTCGACAGTCAGCTCAAATTCAACCACCACATAAATCACATCACCAGGACCGCCTTTTTCCACCTCAAAAACATTGCCCGTCTCCGCCCATCTCTCTCCTCCTCTGCTGCTGAAACCCTGATTCATGCATTCATCACTTCACGACTCGACTACTGCAATAGCCTCCTCTTGCATACCATCCAACCTCCTCAATAAACTCCAACATATCCAGAACTCTGCTGCCCGCCTCCTCACCCACACCCGCTCCCGAGACCACATCACTCCCATCCTCCAGAACCTCCACTGGCTCCCCGTCCGTCAAAGAATCCACTTCAAAGTCCTCCTCATTACCTACAAAGCCCTCAACAACCAGGCCCCCCCCTACCTCACAGACCTGCTGCACCACCACACCCCTTCCCGCTGCCTCCGCTCATCAGAAGCCAACCTCCTATCCATCCCCACCCGCACCAATCACCGGACCTGGGGGGACAGAGCCTTCTCCGTCGCTGCCCCCTCCCTCTGGAACTCACTCCCACAACCCATCAGAGACTGCACCGACCTCACCACCTTCAAAAAACTCACAAAAACTCACCTCTTCAATCTGGCTTTTCATGTGTGATTGTTTTTGTATTATTTGACTTTAACTATATATTTATTTGTTGTTCCTTTCTTCTGTTTTCTTTTCTCTTCACTATTATCTGTAAAGCGTATTTGAGCACCTGTAAAAGCGCTAACAAATTAAATCTATTATTATTATTATTATTATAACCATTGTCTCTCTGTCTCTTTGTAAGGTACATGTAATCTGGTCTAGTTTGTTTGTTTGCTATGGGAAACTGCAACAGCTAATGAGAGAACAGGAGCGTGATATATTATTGTCACATCTATGTATAGTTTCTCTGCGTAGTTTCTTTTTTTCTAAAATCACACTTGGATGTTTGCAAACAGGCACTACTGATAATTTCACCTGAGGGCTCTTTGACCTCTGTTGATGTGCGAGGGGCTGCTTTTAAAATAGTTTCAATAGGGATTAATTTCCCCTAAAGGGGGAGGTAGATGGCATCAGTGTGTTTCTCTCTCCTGGCCATGGCCTTAAGTCTTGGATGTCAGTTCTCAAATGACTGGGGTGGATGACATGTCAGACCAGCTGCTGGAGACCAGTTAACAGTGATACTGGGTTATCACTAGGATAGGTTACTAAAGAAATCAAATAAAATTGTTTCTCAGAAGAGAAGAGTGGAGAGGTGAATTGCATAAAACCAAAAAGCAGGAAGATAAGAGTAGACTTTTCTAGTTAGCTAAAAAACATTTAGCCAGCTTAATGACTCCCGTAACTTGATATTGAGCAATTCACCACCTGCATCACACAGACCTAATGCTTTATGCTGGCAGAATAATGACAACGTCAATAACTTACATTCCAGAGCTGTGACTCGTTTAGTTAACGTTATAGTTTACATTTATTATATTTTAACGATTGAGATATCTAGTCAATACATAACCTCGACTGTTCCTAGAAAAGGATCTTTAAATGTGGTTTAACATTTGTTTTTCAGGGAAGCTATCTGCAATGATGTACATTTTGGAAAAACCAATATCCATCCCACAGAGTGAGTACCAGGCTGGACCTCATGTAGCCAATGTATGTTAAAACCATTCCAACTCATATGCTTGTTAATGTTTAGCCCCAAGCTCGAATTTCGTCTAAATGGCTAACTGTTGGACCAGAAGTGTTAAAATGAATGATGACATAAATTGGACTTAAGCACCCTGTATTAATAGTTCTGTTTTGGTGTTTATGACCAACAGTCAAAGTGTTGGGGGGAGGGGGGGGGGGGGGGTTCCATTATAGAGCTGTGACTTATTCTTTACCATATAGACAAGATGTACTGCACCCTAAATAAATCATCTCCACTAGAGGTCACTTCTTCTGAAGGAACATATTTATTTGGAACTGTTTTACACACAAAGTACAGCCTAAAGCAATCTGCAATGTCGTTTTACATTTGTCAGTAATGAACAGATGGACATGTCAATGAGTGCAGCTTTGGAGTGACCAAAAGCTGCATATATAATACAATAATACAATTCAGCATTGTGTCTGAGCCTCCCAACCCCCTCACAGGTGTCAGTTATTACGTTTGATTGAAACTCAGATTAGGTTTAAGGTTGGCAGGAACTTTATTGGAAATGTAGAAGGTCACAAATCTATATCTAACAATAATATTGTTATGTTCCCCAAAGCTCTGGAGGATAAGGGGCCACACAACTGATTAAATTACCAAGGGGAAAAGCCCTTAGCCAATACAAAAGCGAAATAAGACAACCTTCGACAACGAAAGAAAGTGACAAGGTTAAACAAAACAAAAAGTTACAAATTAGATCCGGGCAAATACCTTAACACTTTCAAAACTCAAGTTACACACAGGTTAAAAACATTCAGAAACTTTTGGTGCAACAGACCAGAAAGGCACATTGATAACCAACCAAACACTCTTTTTAGTGCTTGGAAGAACACGCACTCTGCAACTAAATATCAAGTCCAGACAACATGACCTCACAGTTTAACAATGTGAAAGAGAAACACTGGCAGGTGAAACACGCTTGTATATAGATCTCCTGAACAAATCATAATTAATTATAGCGCTGAACAGTAACACATCTCTGCGTTACTATTTATATACATATATATGTATAAATGGCTTAAAGTATAAAATAAACTGTTATGTACAGTAAAAGTAGGAGAGGTACAGTTAAAATAGTTAGCTACAGTAGCTTGTGATCTTCACCTCAATCACTGTAGGATGGAGAGTAAGTGTATTTCAAAATATGTTTCTCTACTCTTTTGGCTAAAAGTCAGCACTAAAACCTTACTGTTTCACGTTTTCTTTTGAATTGCAACGTGTCACACGACAGAGATAAAACCATTACGTTTGTTCTCTTTTCTAATACCTCTGTTCTAAGTGCCCTGTAGCCTATGTTTACTGAAATGAGCAAACTGTTAAAGTAATTTAACTTATTATCTCTACCTAACCTTTACCTCTTGAAACTAGGTGGTAAACAAGACAACAAAGTCATTCGGTCACCATATCAAACATCATGTAGGCCTACCTGATACTAAAGATGTGACTTGGACCACTTCACAGTGAGGAAATTAACGCCTCCGAACTGCCATAACAAAATTCAAATCCCAAAATAGAAGTAAAAAGAAACCCTTCTCTGGGCTGTTAGACGCCTCAGGTTTACTTTGAAAAAACCCCGCTCACATACCATCTCCCACTACCTAGCTTAGCAGAACAACAAACAAGACAGAGGAGCTAGTGTCCAAGTCTGGTACTTTGGTATAGTATAATAAGCCAACTTAATATTTACTGTATGTTACATTGGTCCTTTATGGACCTACACTGTGTGGACAAGTCTACAGCTAGCTAGTTATTATAGGCAAAGCATTTATTTGAGCTAAATGCTAATGTCAGCATGCTAATGTTATGTGTTAGAAATACGACCATGCTAAAAAAAACATTATAACATGTTGATCTCGTAATATTGTTTACCTCCTTGCATGTATCCTATGTGGCTTTCAATAACCAGCGATTTGGCCTAATTAGAGAATTAGCTTTGACCTTTTGACTATCGTCTTGTCTTTTTGTACAGTAGGCTATATATATACTGTACAAAAAGACAAGACGATATCTGACAGACAAAACTGGATTCATTATAATGAATCCAGTTTTGTCTGTCAGATATGGCAAGTCTGTCAGATATGGCATGTCCTTTAGGCATGCTAGATGTTCAGCTAACTGACTAGGCTGACTGGTTTAAGTTGGCCTGATTAATAGATATTATTGCATATCATCTGCATAGTAATGAAAGTTTATTGAGTGTTTTCTGATAACATTGCCTAAATGAAGTATTTGAGGTGAATTGAAAATGTCCAAGTACATAACCTTGCAAGACTCCATGTTGTTAACATGCACAAACTGAGACTGTTTAGATAAATAATACTTTAATTATCTTAGCGTGGTTCTTAAACTGCAAACTAAATGTTCCAAGTTTTGTAAAAGAATATGACTGTTATGAATACAGCACTTCAATCTAGTAAGAGGGCAGGCCATAACACAAGGGCCACACCTTAACCTGAAAACATTTAAGGAATACTATGTGCCTCTTGAAGCATTGCTTTTTTGTAAAGCCTTTGCAATTCTGGGCATAGATTGACCATTTGGCACATTTATATTTACAACAGCATTTACAAAAACACTTAATGTGAAGGCTCCAACATGTTGCATAAGCCACTAAGACTATTTAAAAAAGCAAAGAAACAGTAGTTTGGTTTTAGCCTTTATTCTGACAGAACATCACCCCATGGGGATTTACAATAATGGATTACAAAGTAGGATCTTGCCAAGTTGCAAGGTAAAACAGCCATGACCAAAGTTCAATATACAAACAACTCTGTTACTGAAAGTCAACATGCATGATAGTATAAAACCAAATACATAATAGGGGAAAATACAATATAGAACTCACCACCTATTCATGCTTTATTATAAAACTGTTCAGTTTTATATTAATTATTATAAAACTGTTCAGTTTTATAATAAACACTTCTCCACAAATTGTAATGAAATGCACATATGACAATAGACAGCACATGCACATCATTAATAAGGCTTTGTCATTCCTTACAACTAAAGCTTGCACATTATGTCAGGAGAAACGGTCAGGTAGGTGTGTGCATTGTAAATGGCTATGACGTTTGTAATATGCTACTTCTGTGACATGGAAAATACTGTTCAAAATCACTGGTAAAACATAAATCTGCCTCCTTTTGATTTAGAAGATTATGAGGGTAAAATGTTCTGCAAAATCGAAGTTAATTTTTTTCTTTTTAAATGTTGCTAACTTAAAATAAAACACGTTTTTGCAATCAACTTTGATACAACATGTAATGTGTAATATACATATCATGATTAAACTGTACAGTTAATAAGATCAAAATCACACAGAAAAACATGGATGCATCGTGTCTGAATGCGTCCTTTTTTGAGAACAGTTCATTCTGTACAATCAGATTTTGGAAATGGCATTCATACCGTATGCTTAGGATAGAAGTCAGAATAATAGGTTAACGTTTTGTATACTTAGAGCCGACATAACCACTCCATGAGGCATTTGCATAGTGACAAGAGTATACACCCCTTTTAGGACGACCAGCATAGGCCACTGACAGCCAATCGAAAGCAGCTTCCAGTGATATTTTGAGCAACAGGTCCTCTGACTGCAGGCCACAATGTATGCTCAGTAAAACAGAACAATACATTAATAAACACGAGTGTCTTTGAACAATTTGCTCTTTAACAAAACTCAATCATTTAAAGTCAGTTCAATCTATTGTGAAACATTAATGTACATTTTCAGGATATAAGCTGCAAATATTTTCACCACCTCAGAAAAATAATATGATCCCACTGTAAACTACAGCTTTAAAAGAAAAAAAAACCCAATAGATTACAAAGTCATGGAAAAACTAAAAGACTCATCCATCCACACGTACTAAAAGACGGAGAAGAAACTTCAGGAGGAGAAAAGCGAGGTATATATCTGGCAAAACAGGTATTATTATTGATATAAATAGTTATAAGAAGATCTTGGGTCACTTTCGTCAATGTGTTTGGTTGCTGTTTTTAATTATTGTTATTTCTTGCATGGCAAGGTCGACAGAATTTGCACTGCGGGGCAGTTCAGCGGTCAGGCAGGGGGGTTCTATTTAATCCATACCTGGGCAGTTAAAAAACGACATTCTTAAACTTGCTGGTGTCTATGGAGTAGCATTTGAGGGATGGAGGTAAAAGTTGCTCGAAAAGCTTAAATATATCTTATCATGTAATATATGGTTATCCTCTCCCTGCATAGATGCATTTTTACAAATATGGAGAAGCACCTTTTAGGAGTATGAACTGCTGAAAAGAGATGTGCCTAAAATGAGTGTAAATAAACTAAACTTGTGTGTATCATTTTAGGTGATAAATATAGAAAATATAATACTAACTAAGTAAAGGTGCTGTTAAAGGTGCTGTTAAGTCGAGCTCGAGCTAGAGAAAGGTAGATATATTTAGTCACATTCAAATAAATGGGTAAATAATAATACATCTTTCTAAAAGAAAATGCACCGCAACAGTGCGGAGGGCACTCACTTTCTTTGGATTGGACGGAGTTTCAAACTGAGGAAGAGGCTAGGCTTTTTCAGTACAGTACACCGTTCCCTGGCGGTCACACTCGAGTCAAACTGATTCTTGATAATTCAGTAAATACAGAGGCAGGTGGCTTGTTGTGTTCTTTTGTTTAAGAATTTAAATCTATCATTTGTTGGGTTGACTCTGTATTTTGTGTTGCCGCAGCGCGATGAACTGAACAAATCAGAGCCTAGTTTTACTGTGTTCTCTGTACAAGACAATAAGGCAACTGATGAAATAAGGTGCTCAGATCAACCTCTACTAATTTAAATGTCATTGCATATTCACTGTTATACTGCACACAATGTGTACATATTGTCTAGCCTTTGTTGTTGTTCCCCCTCTGTGAACTCCTGCTTAGCAGGCGCACAAACATGTCCGCCTTCAGCCTATGTCCATCCTCTCTCCGTCCTCGTTAGCCAGTTCAGAAACTGGTGGTATTGTCCAGTAGCTGCTTTGCCTCTGAGACTCCTTCCTTAGCCTGCTTGGCCTTCTCGGCCTCAGCAGCTCCGGCTGATGGTTTTCGCTTGCGATTGATCTTGAATACATCCCATTTCTCGGGCAGCAGACCTTTGTTGATGATGATGGCTGCAAGCCAGGAGAAGAGCAGGATGGAAAATAGCGACAACATCATGATAGCGGTGCGAAAGGGGAAGTACTGGGTTTGCTTTCCTTCAGCGTCCAGTCGGTAGCCGGGGAACTCGATGAGAGGAGGGAGGCCAATGAGGGGCTCACCACTCATGAACCTTAAGATGATTCCCATCATGAAGCCAATGAGGGCTCCATATGCATTTGACACCTTGAAGAAGAGGACGCAGACCAGCTGTGGGAACATGATGGTGTAGGACATATCTACGCCCACCAGCCAGAAGACCAGGACGCTGCTGTCCAGAAAGGTGAGGCCAGTGCCGGCCAGACCCACCACCACCACCGAGATACGGATCACCCACTGCATCTCACTGTCCGACGCCTGGAGGGTTGGGAAAACAACAAGAAAGACAATGAAAGTTTTGAGGGGTTGTGTCTTTTCTGTCTTTGTAACTGCTCCTGTTGTTATAAAATGAAACCTAGAAAATATGTCATCCATCATCCTTAAAAGATGTTTTGTTGATTTGTGTGCACAAAGCTAAACGGTTTTTGATTGAAGTATTTGAAAGGCTAAATGCAACAAACAGGGCTGCCCCTCCCTACAGGCAGATAACGCATACTGCGTGGGGCCTCATGTTGCGTAGGGGGCCCTCATCTTATGTGGAAATACGGGGCAAATCATCTAATGCGCAAATGCGGCGCTCCGCAGTTTCCTGAGGGAGGCTCCGGCACTAACCGTTCATGAGCGTTCAGCGATGAGTGACTACTTCTGTACAGACCTGGGGGGCCTCATGACACACCTTTGCGTGGGGCCAAAAGGGGGCAGCCCTGGCAACAAATGTAGATTAAAGCGGAATATGTGATTAGACTATTAAACAAAGATGTGAATCTTGAATATTATTGCATCTCCCTTTTTTAAATAAAAGTTGACTTTTGGACTTAACCCTCTGGAGTTATACGAAATGTTTGGATCATGAAAGTCGGAAACAATGTTACCCAACCTCCACTGGAATCTACTTTTACTTGCAGAAATGCCAGCACTGAACAGAGTGAATAGATTGAATGTCAACAGTAGGAATGAAGCTTCAAAGATTTGAAATATTCAATACACCCCCTATGATTTTCACATTCCGCCTTGTTACATTAGGGATCTATGATCGTCTGGTCTTCAGATCCTCTTACAAAGTCAAAGTACCTTGAAGTTACAGCACTACAAAAGCTGACGGTGAAGGGCCCCATTACATGGAACATTCTTTGGGGGTGTAATAATGAGATCATTGTTGCAAGAGAGCAAACATGTGGAGGAGTTGTCACAGTGTACAGTATGCACAGCAATGCCCACATTCTGTCAAGTATCTACAGAATTGGAAGTCAATTGCTTCTCTGTGCTGCCTCCAGATGTGTTGTGGGTACAGTATTGTGATGCAGTCTGTGGACTGTAAATGTCTGTAGAAATGCAAATGTCTGAAAAATGTTTAAATTGAGACAACATTAAGACAATAATCTGTCATTACCATGCAGTGGAAGTGTGCAACAAGTAAACAAACATCTTAGTGACTACATTTGTTATAACGCATAAAAAAGGCAAGGACCAATGATAGAAAGTCCTGCTTTAAGTTAACTAGTCTATCTAAAACAGACTAGCAGTAACTACCTTCTCTGCAGCCTCTGGTGAACAAGTATTATTCATACTGGCTCTTAACATTGTGATTGTCCAAACAGAGAGTACAGTATAAAAAGGAAACTAAGTAAGACTAAATTCTCCTGCCAAGTTATTGTTAAATGCAGAAGGTGGTTAAAACTACCCAGAACTTAATTTGTGCCCATATACCTCGCATCGGCAATATTGGTGAGAAGTGAGCCTAAAAGACGAAACTCAACCTAGCAACACCCTGCCAAGCCTGCTGTCTTCTGGCAAACGATATACAACTATAGCTCAAATTTTGATTTTGTTACAGAGCCTTCAAACTTTAGACAATCCTTTTCTCAACTGCATGTCCAATATTGCATTATGGACATGCACACCGTTGATATCTTTCTCCAATTCTCACCTGTTTTCTGAGGATGTTCTTGTAGATATTTGAGGAAAATAATGATGCGGAGGACAGAAGAGCTGAGTCCATGGAAGACATGACGGCAGCAGCTACTGCTCCAATGCCAATGATGGAGATGTATGGGGGTGTGAGGTACTGCAGGGCGATGGGGAGGATGGAGCCTGCCTGGTTGCGCTCATATGGGGTGGGCAATCCATAGGCGGTTGAGTTCCAGTCTGGGCGGAATGACAGATAAATATTTGGATTAAAACCAAAGGAATCTTTGAAAAGTTGTTCATTCAGTATAAATTATTTAACGAAACTTATGAATTCTGTTTGAAATGCGAAATAGATCAATGCAGACTGTAAGCTAAGGAAAGCTGACATAATCATTTTCCAGTGGTGTTAACCTGTAGACGCAGCCACAGCCCCCACCAGAATGGAAGGGATACCAAGCACCAGGCAGAAACCTGAAGAGGCGAAGCAGGTCACTTGAGCCTGGGTGTAAGATGAAGCGGACAGGATTCGTTGGTAGAACGCCTGGTAGGCAAGACCACCCAGAGCCTGGCACAAACACACAGTTCAGACATGATGACAGGAGTCAGTTTGTTCAGCAGGACAGGGTAAGACGGAACAATCCTCATGATTTTGCTGTTATGCTTGGCTGTTTGCTGATCTAATGGAATAAGCCCAATTCCTTTAACTGGCATCATGCTTGGGTCAATTTAATTGAACTGTGATGACAACAAGAGTAATACAACTACTGCATAAACTGTGTTCTAGACGGCATATCATTTTGTCTGGCTTTCGTATAATAGCCTCCCCCACTCCACTCACCAGCAGCATGAAGTCATCAAACCACTTTCCGGCCTGATCAAGTTCCACCGTGCCAACCCAGGGAGCCTGGAAGGTCTGGTTGTAGGCTGTCAGTGAGATGTCCAAAGAGTGAGGGTTTGTCATCAGGAAAGGGACACACAACCACTGTATACACAAACACAAGGATACATCTGATCAGATTATCAGCAATGTGGCAAGCTTCTACTGATGAAGATCATGTGAAATAATCGAATGGAGATATAAATGGACAACCTGCTATCCAGATACAGAGCGTGGACTTGTACTTGGAGAGGTATGAGGTGCCAGTTCACCTGGGCTCTGCAAAGGTGCCCTTGAGCAAGGCACCTAACCCCCAACTGCTCTGGGCGCGGGTGAACTGGCTGCCCCTTTACTCTCCCTCTCCAATCCTTCATGTCCTGTGTGCTCATGTATATCAACCAGTGTGTGTAATGTTAGTGACAAAAGTAATTTCCCCCTTGGCAATTAATAAAGTATATCTTCTTCTTTTTATATTGCCCTCTATACACAACTATGAGTTACAGTAGGGCTCTGTTCCATTTCCCACAGTTAATAGCAGATGTTTGGTTTTCTTAGTCAACAAAACAATATATGAGTGACGACAGAACGAGAATCCTAACATTGATTTGCTTTTGGAAGACTGTGTCACGCAAATGTCCTGCTTGAGTTCAACAATTTAAACTGATATGAATGATGTTGCTCATTTAATACAAAAATGGAGCTGAAACTCTTTGATTTGACAGCTCAAAAAGGCTGCTTTTACTATTACTCACCAGACTGAAAAAGATGAGGATGAGCTGGATTACATCTGTGTAGGCCACAGAGTAGAGCCCCCCCATCAGTGTGTAGACTATGGCCACCACTGAGGAGATGATGATGGAGTAGAGGTAGGGCAGGTCCAGGATCACACTCATTGTTCCACCTGAAGTAACACAGCAGAGCGGTAAGCTGAGAGGACTGACAGCAACTTGTCTAATGTACAGTTGTTGGTTTCTACAGATACATGCAAATGCTTGCTTTGATAATAGAATCAAGGTGCTAAGTCTTTCTTTTGTATTTAACTATCTTCCCTCACACACAGACACAAACATATACATCCACTTGTACTTACTCTAAAGATGTACTTAGAAGCTAGGCAATGGCATTGTCTATACAGTTCATATATCTCAGTGCATTATTTTGAAAAAAAAAGTGAACATTAAACTTTATCCAACAAAAGAAAAACATGTTTCTTGGTATAAGGTCGAGAATAAGGTTACACTTCAGTGTGGGCCACTTTGGTTTAAACTTTTAAAGGGGCAGTTTACCCCACAATCAAAAATGCATGTTACCTTTAACCTGTAGTGATAATGATCAATCTTCAGTGTATAGGTTTGACTTTCCAAGCATGGAAGGTATCGGCTGTAGAAATGTCTGCTTTCTCGCCTATATAAAAGGAACTAAACGGCACTTGTTAAAATCAACAGTAATGTATCTCTCCAGAAATAATTGCCAAAGTAAATCCACACGTTGAGCACCAAGAGCCAAGTGCCATCTAGTTTAGAGGAAAGACAAACATCTCTACGGCCGATTTCTTGAACACTTGGCAACTCGCACCAAAACTAGATTGATAAATAGCCCTACATGTACATTTTAGATTTTGGGGTGGGCTGTACCTTCAAGAAGCATACATGGGCTAAGATTAAGCAACAAGTCAACATAAAAGTGATAATGATAAAATTATAACAAACTGTACAGAAACACATAACAGAATCAGCCTATTGATTGTGACTCCAAAATATGCCTTTTTCACCCTCTTGGATGAATGATCACCCTAATACTGATAATTATTAATTAATCAAGCAGAAGGTGAAGAGAATTGTCTTCAAGTATTGAAACAAATGTGTAAAAAAATATATGTGATTGTAAACAGAAAGTACAAAATAAATAAAAAGACATCTTGTTACTCAAACAAGGCAAGCAAAACGTGACTACCTTCACCGTCTCTCCTCATTGCCAGGGTCCCCCCAGCCGCAGCCTGCAGCCACACCACAACAATGCCCTTAAACAGAGAAGTGTCAGACCGGCACCATCGATGGCTACTCACCACCCTGCTGAGCCCCCAACCCTCTAAACCACCCCGTCTTTGCACCAGCTTTACTGTCACCCTTTTATCCTTTAACCACATGTGCTTGAAGTTTTTCAAATCTGATCTCTTATCCTGGAAACTTTATCATATTATCTTAAATAATGACTGTGTATTTACTGTACACAAAGACTAACTTTTCACTTAACTGGCATTAAAACAAGATAGACTACTTAAGTTATTAACCAGCTGTTCACACTTGGCACAAAAATACATTTTGTTGAGTAAGACCTAAATATAGGTGGTGACGCAAATGTATACATGACAACTAAAGACACAAAGATAAATCTATGTATTTATTAGTACTTTAATCATCAACTACTAGTTTGAGTACTTTTTTGTTTTTAACGTGAGTATTTTCAGTCTTTACTCTCTTTTGGAAACAGAAATTGAATTTTTAAACAGTTTCCGACTTCAGAACATCAAATAGAAGTTACAGTATTTTTTTCTTTGCTTTTAAGTTTATTAACGGCTTTAATTTTGATCTTTTCATTAGACATTTTCTGTATAGCTTTTCTGTGTCACTGATTTGTTTTTATACTCTTAACCACAAGCAGTCAGTCCAAGTGCATTCTGATGCCACGTGTGAACTGAAATCCATCTCAACAAAATGTAACCCCGATCTGGTTATCCCTGAATAAACACCAATATTCAACATCTGTCATCGGTTCTGTGCTGACCTGTCCCCCCCCCACCCAGTGCCACATTTAGGAAGAAGAAAGGTGGAATGAGATTTAGGGGCAATGAGCCGCACCAGAGTTAGACAGGGGGGAAAGAGTTGCTTTAATACCCCCTCGTGTTTTAGACCCATGTCCCATTTTTAAAACTCATGCATGTGTGTGCTCAACCAGCACAAACACACACCTTACTTACTGTCCTTTCCCCGATTGCTTCCCGGCATTAACTATACTCTGCCTGTGTTTTGTTAATAATGCACAGCTAACTGACAGCACATGGGAAGTGTGTTTTAAAAGATAAATCCTCTCTGGAACTGATCCACCACACACACACTTGCTCATGACACACACACACACACACACACACACACACACACACACACACACACACACACACACACACACTGCAATTATCACTTATTAAAAAAAGTATTGCCATTTTCAAAAAAGTAATAGGAACAATGTAATATAATAATCTAAAATAAAATGAATAATGATAATAATAAATACACCAATTACGCAGTTAGTTATTATTTTTAGTGAAGTAATATCAATGATATGGTCAACTACTGCATCTTTAATTAATTAAAGCAAACAGCATCTGCGTATAAAATGTTTGCGTCAAAGATTTAACCGTACAATTAGTAATCTTCACAAATATGTCTTTTATGTAGTGTTGGTTAAACTTCATAAATACCTCTTATGTAACTTGTTATGTGCTAAACTAGAGCAGCTGAATATGTGGGGGCCAAATAACTGAGCCACCTGGCAATAAAATGTCCTCCATTATATTATCTGGGTAATAAAACAGTTTGGACTGTCAATGGCATTTATTTACAAAGCTGTAGTTTGTAGTGATGATTTTATGAGGTTGTAAGGGCTTAGTTTTTGGTTTTCACCTGCAGTTATCTACAGCTCAGGGCCAAACAGCACCAGCCATAAGCAACTGACTGTTTTTCTACTATGTTTGTGGACATGGTGTACCCAGATCTGTGGGTGCCTGCATAAGTGTGTGTGTAAGTATTTGTGTGCACACATTATAGTGCCACACATTTTTACTGTTTGAGGTAACTTACCCAGGCTGACGAGTGTGCGCGCCACCCATAGAACATCGGCCACTAGAGCGGGAAGGATCAGCAAACTGCTCATAACGTTCCCATACTTCTGCTGGAAAGGGTCCATCATTGTCACATATCTGTTCTCCCTCATTGGCCTGGCAAAGAAAAACCCACCTGGAGAAGGAGGGAAGGAATTACGATAGATTAATGAAAAGATGAAGCCAAACATTGTTTCAAAACCCAATTGAATGACAAAGAAGAGGGTGAGTGGTTGTGAATAATAAGAAAACAACTGTTCCTTCCAGATAACACAATGAAGACCTACAGCTGATCTCATGGGTCCATGATTGATTCAGAGCAGACAACTGTTGACTAGTATCTTGTTAGAGCAGCCACCTGTCACTCAAAGCAGCTGCACCTTAATCATTCATAACTATTAACCCTTAATATAACTTGAATGCTTTCACTTGGAACGAGTGACCCAATCACAAGACTTTGCGAGTTGTTTAATGTTTAGCATTTCTTTAATAGTAAATGTATATATGACAGGAACATTGCCGATAGACAAAAATAGCTTTCGGCCATGTTTTCTGACAAAAACAAGAGACCTCACCCGCCCATTGATGTATTCAAACAACTTTATACACATGTGGCTCATCAAGGTTGTGCCCTAGCATTTTCCTTAAACCCCACCTCCCAGAGGCTACCTTACTCTGGTGTCTGATCAGTCAAATGATTGGAAGGGGGAAACTAATTCTGGATTCGGCTATTAAAGCATTTTACAACTTTGGGACTTAATATTTTAAATAATGGCAGATGTTTGAACTGGGGAATTTATTTATTTGATTAGATGTCTGTTTTCCAAGTATTTCAATGGGAAAAAGTCTTGATGGCCCAAGAGCATCTGCAAACCAACATACACCTACATCTGGAGTGGCCTTATCTTCTTCTTTTGGTGCTGGCTTTTATGCCAGTTGGCATCTAGTAGTGTTGCATTACTATCCGATTGGCTGCCTTTTCTGTTGCCGTGGTATGTGTGCTACTGTGTGAGATGGAAATGTTTCTGAATGTAGTGCCTGAATGAAAATGACTAGCGGTGCCTGAATGATTATCCCATAATTTTCCTGGAACTATTTGGGAAAGGGGCTTACAGTATATCTCTGGGTGAACTCTCCCTTTGGACCTGTTGCCTCAAGTTACAATGCTGAACCGATTTTCCCATGCTCCTATTTTTACCTTGAGCGACACTTTTATTTGTGCATATCAGATGGGAGTTACCATATTTCAACGTTATGTCAACAACGCCTCAGCTTAAGACACAAGTTGATTTTAGAATGGTATTTTACTAACTGTGTGTACAAACTTCAGGAAACTTCATTTTAGAGATTTCCTGAATTGATTAATAATGATGGAAATATTAACCTTTACATGCTTGTGCTTGGTATTAAAATAGAAACCGGGAAAATAACATTATCGCTTGGTTATTATCCAGGTGTCATTACCCAACATAACTTTTATAAGATTTCAAGAAAGCATTGAAAGCTAAATCTTGACAAGGACAATCTTTTTCTTCCAAATTGGATTACTGACTACTCAAATGTCATATAATATACCCTAAAAGGATTATACTGGTAAAAGAGGTAAATCTATATTCACGTGGGGCTTCCTAGTGTGTGATAGTTACCAGCCTGTGGCAAGTTACAAGTGCTTCATTTCAAACCCTGCATGGAAGCCAATTCACTCCTTGTGTACTATCTATTAATGCTAGATTGTATAAAGTTCCATTTAAATAGTTAATTTGCAATTTGATGCACCTTTATATCAATTTCATCAGCACAGTTGTATACGATTACTTTGGCCCAGATTGCAATCAGTTGACGTTGACAGACTCAAAATAAAATAGCAGGGAAGACGAAGATGGTAGTTCTAAACGTTGGTGGTCAGTGGTGCAACTCACCTAAGAAGAAGGTCAGGACATAAGGCACAGGCATCAGAGCCCACACTGCGCCTAGTGTGGGGTTGTATGCCGCCTCAGCTATACCGAGGATGAAGCCTCCACCCACCCATGTAGCTGTGAACACACACATTAAAAAGGGAAACATTACATATACGCCACACATGCTTGTGCTTTCCACTGACTTTGTAATATACACCACGCAAACACTTTTTCTAAACAAAGCACCCTAGATGTCAGTTATCCACTTCTTTCCTCAAAACTTTAAAGGGGCCCTATTTTTCTAATTTTTAGGTTCATATTTGTATTTAGTGCCTCTACTCTCACATGTCTCCATGCTTTAATGTTCAGAAAGCTCTTTATTCTTCTCATACTGCCTGTGCTGCAGCACCTCTTTTCACCCTCTGTCTGAAACCAGAGCCCAGTCTGCTCTGATTGGTTAGCTGCCCAGCTCTGTTGTGATTGGTCAACCTTTTCAGAGATATCCTGCCCCTTAGCCTATCTTGTACAATATGTTGGAGTGCTAGGCAATAGGAGTGCGAGTGTTACAAAAGTAAAAGGGAACCTTGGGATTTTAGCCTTTGTAAACCATTGACATGCACAGAAACCTATAGAACACATTACAGGAAAGGGAAAACCCATAAAAGCATAATAGGGCCTCTTTATTAATTCTACTATCTTATGTCATAATTGCGTCGGAAAACCGTCAACTGGGAAATAAACCCGAACTGCTTTACCAGTCAGAGTGAAGATGCCAACAAGCAAGTTGATGTTGCGCCCGGCCAGTAGCGTTATCTCCATGCCATTTCCTGTGCACTTCTTTTCCTGCTTCTTGGAGCGAAAGGAGGCCCAGATGCCTATACCCAAGATCAGCAGGTAGAATACTGCCATCACCACCAGACCCGGCACATTGAGAGTCATCGTAAACTACTCCTGCAAGCGTTTCCTGTGGGAAAGAAGCAACATGAGGATTAGCTGCTAATAGATAGAACATTAAATATGCAAAACAATATTGTCTTATGCTGTTTATGTCAATACAAAAATACAGCTTAAAAATGCAAAAACAAATGATAAACACTAATGAATAAAAGACAGTAGCTCGTATTCAGGTCGATGCACAGCGGAGGGTGAGTGAGGTGGAAAAGGAACTATATACATGTACGTCTTCTTAAAGAAAAACAGTGAAGAAAGAATAGGCTGTAGTGGGAGGGTAGGGGGGGCAGCAGTATCGCAAATAACCTCCGCTTGCTTTGCAAAATGGGTGGAGACAGGGTGATGAAAAGGGGTGGCGTGGAGTAGGAGGGGAAAAAATAGAAGGTGTGAGGGATAGAGTCGGAGAGGCGAAAGGGATCTCACCATAATACTTGGCAGCACTGACAAAGATGGCGGACAGATGTTGTCCCCCGTCCTCAGTGGTTGGGCGGCCCCAGTTTCCACCCAAACATCGTAAATGAACACAACTCAGAGCGGCGTTAGTGTGTACATATGTGTGTCTATGTGTGTGCATTTACTGTAAGTGTGCATTGGACAGATGGTCTTCAAGAGAATATGAGATAAGTCTTTGCGTTTCAAAAGAAGCGTCTATCTTACACCCATCTTGCACCCACATCTCTACGTTGACATGGATCATGTTAACTGTGGATGCTGTCCAGAAAAAGTAAAGGACTTGAGACAAGTTTTCTGTATAAAATATCACAATAAGGCAGTTTCTTAGAAAAACGTGTTTTCTTTATTATAAACAGAAACAATTCAAACATATCATTTTCTAGGAAAAGATATTGGGCCCCTAGCCCAAAGTGGTGAAAAACATTTGTTATACAAAATGCTTTGGCTCGAGTGGTTGGGCGGCCCCAGTTTCCACCCAAACATCGTAAATGAACACAACTCAGAGCGGCGTTAGTGTGTACATATGTGTGTCTATGTG